ACGGTAGTGTCAGAGCTATGCCGTCCGGAACTTCGTTCCTGGTAGGGCCACCCAAGGCGGACAGGTCTGACATACACGCCGGCTAACAAGGGCTCTGGTGAAAATCCAAGGAGCGTCTGCATCGGCAACCGGCGGCTTCTGGTCGTTCCTGTCTCTGCGTCTGTGGGAACCCCGCGGCAAGCAAGAACGTTTTCCGAGTAGGTCTGAGTACTCTACTTCTGTAATTTATCCCAAGAATCTTCTTCTCGCAACAGGAAGAAGCCGGCTCAATCCGCCCAGGGTGAATGCCGCATCAAGTACAAGTAGTAAGTACGCTCTATCTCTGATATTGAGCACTTTATCCCATAAATATAGCACACCTTAAAAGCTATATTTCTTCATATATATATATATATATATATATATATATATATATATATATATATATATAAGATATCACTGTACTTGACGTTTTGATAAATTTTCAATATATCTATTTCCCATCTAGAGTTAACCTCTCTAAAATAGCATATATACACCATTTATTAAACCTGGAGAGTATTAGTATAGGAGAATATTGTTTGTTGTGCCGCGTACATCATCTCACCAAAAAGGTGGGTTATATTTACACGTAAACACGTTAAAATTATCGAAGAGACCTGCATTTATACTGTTCTGAAGTGATAAATCTATACTGTCTTGAAAGTACACACCCTTCACAGATTTTCACCCACACCTAAATTCGTATAATAACATGAGCACAATCGCAAGGCAACGCATATGATAATGGAAAAACACCAATCCACAAACGTAGACACGTTTAGTTCTTTCAATCTACCCACATTAAGGCCTTCAGGTTGAGAAACACTCATCGATAACCTTTTCTTGATATTGCTGCCATTGTAATCATTTCATTTCAAACGTTTCCTTTAACCAACCAACCAGATTTGCAATTGCTTCTTTTGACCAATCATATCCGATTTATTCACGCATGCGTGTTATTAACTTCCAAATCGCTAGCTCCCTTCTATTTTTTTCTATTCTTGTTTCCTTCATCTCTTTCCTCTCACGCCCGACCGCTCATCATTTTGTCTAATCAAACGGCGTCAGTATTAACTACAAAAGAGTCAATATCGACACCAATCAAGTATTTATTATCAGGGGAAATAACTTTGTGCTAAAAGCAGTCCGTATTTATTGGCGGGGGCGCTAAAAGATCCATATTCTTAGAATTATTAGCATCGAATTAAATCCTTAGCAATTCAAGACTTTCAGCTGCGAGGTTCGTCCTTCTTTTTTTGTTATCTTCTTGCATCACCCATCCGCACCGTTTAGTTGGTTCCTTTCTTTAGCCGGCGTTTTCTGCCTCTCTCCGATTTTCGAGGTAAAGAGGTGTTCCCAGCATCGAAAGCCTATTTATATGACTAGTCTTTTATTTATTCAGGGTTTGTAAGTTTGTAGCGCTGCCTCAAGGTGCTTTGCAACGAGATTGATTGTACGACTCACTGATGTTAACTGCGTTTTTACTTGTTCACTTCCTCAGATGATGACAATTTGAGAAAACCTCAGGCTACAAGTCAAAAAATTACTCGAGGGTCAGACACGATCTACTTTCAAGCCAATCAGTTAGTCTGCGCATAGCTTTAATGAAAGCCATATTCATCGCCTCGACAAGCAAGCTGAACCCCTAATACGAGATCTATCCTAGAAGCTAGGAATATATTGCTGGAAGCATGTCTGACAATTCAAGAAGTTAGTCTACTGTTAAACTACTGATTATTCTTTTTTCTTTTTATAACAAATAAACTTGTCACTACTGCTAACCAGTGCCGCAATTTCAAGTTCAGCACAATGTCGTTGGATCTTTCTGTTATTACAGCTTGTCAGTACTTTTAACTTAACGACTATTTTTCTGCTATACACTTACAAATAATAAATACATTGATTGATTCTTACTTATCAACCCTTTACAGATTATTTAACCAATTACTTGACTATTATTTTCGGGAAAGCATTTCATTTTCAGACGATTTTTTTTATTTGTTTTTAAGATATAACTAAGAATATGAGGCACCTTGAAGTGTCCAAACGGTGGCCATCGCTTTACAAGATATATGATTTTACAATAGAAGTCATGTCAAGGTCAGAAGAACATAAAAAGAATTAAGATCGACGTATAAACACGCCTATAGCTGGTTTTCGTACGTTATATTTTGGACGTGTTTATTCGTCAGTGTCTGAAAAGGGTTTTAAAAAAACAGTATATACACGTCGACACCGGGGTCGGGGTTAAAGCCTGTATTATATATATATTTATATATATATATATATATATATATATATATATATATATATATTACAGTCGGAAGTCGGTTCTCACATTTAAAATTTAGAACCGTTAGGTTAATAATTACCCCACCCACACATCCAAGCTTACAGCACCAGGTATTCCCAAGTGCTGACCCATCTAAGTACTGACCAGGCTCAACGTTGCTTAATTTCGGTGATCTTACGAGAACCGTTCTTTCAACTTCTTATAATCATAAGCTTCGTTAATATATTACATTTTGTATAGCTTTTATGTTGACGAGTTTCGCTGATCAATCCGCGTCATCAGAAAACATCTAAATCTAAACTAGAACGTGATGTATGTTAATCTTATGAACGCTTACTTTTTTATTTTGTGTCGTTAATTAAATTAGATTTTACTAATTTCGACTCAGTTGTTTTTGTTATAATAATTTTGAACCCAATTTGTTTCAACGCCAGTTTAATAAGAACAAATATTGAAATCACGTATGATAAAAGAAAGAAAAAAGATTTGAAATTAGAAACAGTTAAAAATGTTAACAAAGGAAGAAGTTAATGTAAAAACAAAATCAGACGTTCTTATGTTTAATGTAAAAGGCGTTATCTCACGATATTGTAGATTTAGTTGAAAGCAAATCTATTTTTTCTAATGACACGGTTTGATCCGTAAAACACGTTAGCATAAAAGTTATCCAAAATGTTTGATCAACAAAACATTTCAATATAAAAATTTTCCAAATCGTCATATATTTAAAATTCTGTCAGTTTCTCAGAGTTAAATCACCTTTACAAATCTATTCTGCACGCCCATCTGAAAATAAAAAACAAGAAAACTACTTCGAGAGTGTCATAAATGATTGAAATATTTTCATTTCGATATTTCAAAATGATTATAAACAGTGTAAATATAAACAAAGAAATATTATCTGATTATATTTAAATCGGTTGTTATTTCTCAAAAGTTATTCTCTCTTTTCTATCTATTGTTTTGAAATTGACCCTTTCAGTTAATTATCACTCCATATTATTTCAAGATGACTTCAACAGTATTGTAATTGTAATGAGATTGACAATCAAGATTTTCCCTATTTGCCTATGTTGGTTATAGCAGAAATAAAGTATAAAGTAAAGAACGAGACGGGAGTAAATTGACTACAATCACGTCTCATAGCATAATGCTATACAACAATATGCCGTCGCTGATAGGATGTTGAAGTCGTTTGGACGAACTAGAATTTGTCGAGACTTGGATCCGTTGTCTTGCCGCCCAGGCTAGGATTAAACAATTGGAAAACAAGAGGCGGAAGTAAATGAAATAAAGGACCTCTTCCTAGCTTCGGCAAATTCTGAAGCTATAATGAAAAATTATGTCATAGCCCAAACAATTGATTTTCCTCAAAATTTCAGAAATAATAAAAAGAAAATTACAATCCAAAATGAAACTAGTCATAGCTGAAAGAACCAAGTTTCAGTCCATTAAACAGAAACAAAATGAATCAGTTATACAGCATCTTTACTGTAATCAGTAAAGATGCTGTATAATTGATTCATTTATATGAATAGATAATCATGGATAAGCTAGCAGATTCTACGGATTTGAGAAAATGGGAACTCAAGATTTTATTTGGCTGAATATTTCATAAATATAAGATATTTGAAGAATTACAATTGAATAATTTATCTCTAACTACATGTGGGGAAATTATACAAAAGCTGGAATTGATTTGAAAGTATAACTCTTCAGGGGACACTGTTGAAACTTACAGTATATAAAAAGAGCTTCATGTATGAGCAGAAATTAATGGCGAAAAATGTCCCGCTCTTGGAAGAGTGTGCCATAACTGAAGAAGAAAATATCATTTTCAGTTTGTATGCAAAATTAAAAAGAAAACAGACAGTATAGAAAGATTGGAAAAAATGAACTGATGAGGTCTTTTAATAGAAAGACCGAAGGAAAAGAATTATTTTGAAAAAATGAAATTATATGACTTTTCTAATGCAAGTGCATACAAGAAGTAAGGTCACTCTAATCTCATTAAATTTCCGGGAACAAATGAGGAAACCGAAATGCAAGTGCATACAAGAAGTAAGGTCACTCTAATCTCATTAAATTTCCGGGAACAAATGAGTAAACCGAAATGCAAGTGCATACAAGAAGTAAGGTCACTCTAATCTCATTAAATTTCCGGGAACAAATGAGTAAACCGAAATGCAAGTGCATACAAGAAGTAAGGTCACTCTAATCTCATTAAATTTCCGGGAACAAATGAAATGTAAACCGAAATGCAATTAAATTGCAAATACAAGAAGTAAGGAAATCACTCTAATCTCATTAAATTTCATTAAACAAATGAGTAAACCGAAATGCAAGTGCATACAAGAAGTAAGGTCACTCTAAAATCTCATTAAATTTCAAGGCAACAAATGAATAAACCATTAAATGCAAAACCAAATGCATACAAGAAGTAAGGTCACTCTAATCTCATTAAATTTCCGGGAACAAATGAGGAAACCGAAATGCAAGTGCATACAAGAAGTAAAACTGTCACTCTAATCTCATTAAATTTCCGGGAACAAATGAGTAAACCGAAATGCAAGTGCATACAAGAAGTAAGGTCACTCTAATCTCATTAAATTTCCGGGAACAAATGAGTAAACAAATGCATACAAGAACCGAAAAATTTTCGGGAACAAATGAGTAAACCAAATGCAAGTGCATAAAGAAGTAAGGTCTCTAATCTCATTAAATTTCCGGGAACAAATGAGTAAAACCATTAAATTTCCGAAATGCAAGTGCATACAAGAAGTAAGGTCACTCTAATCTCATTAAATTTCCGGGAACAAATGAGTAAACCGAAATGCAAGTGCATACATGAAGTAAGGTCACTCTAATCTCATTAAATTTCCGGGAACAAATGAGGAAACCGAAATGCAAGTGCATACAAGTAATGTCAAATCTCATTAAATTTCCGTAAGGTCACTCTAATCTCATTAAATTTCCGGGAACAAATGAGTAAACCGAAATGCAAGTGCATACAAGAAGTAAGGTCACTCTAATCTCATTAAATTTCCGGGAACAAATGAGTAAACCAAGAAATGCAAGTGCATACAAGAAGTAAGGTCACTCTAATCTCATTAAATTTCCGGGAACAAATGAGTAAAACCGAAATGCAAGTAAGAAGTCATACAAATTTCCGGGAACAATGAGTAAATACAGAAGTAAGGTCACTCTAATCTCATTAAATTTCAAATGGGAACAAATGAGTAAACCGAAATGCAAGTGCATACAAGAAGTAAGGTCACTCTAATCTCATTAAATTTCCGGGAACAAATGAGTAAACCGAAATGCAAGTGCATACAAGAAGTAAGGTCACTCTAATCTCATTAAATTTCCGGGAACAAATGAGTAAACCGAAATGCAAGTGCATACAAGAAGTAAGTCACTCTAATCTCATTAAATTTTTCGGGAACAAATGAGTAAACCGAAATGCATTAAATTTCCGGGAACAAATACAAATGAAGTATACAAGAAGTAAGGTCTCTAATCTCATTAAATTTCCGGGAACAAATGAGTAAACCGAAATGCAAGTGCATACAAGAAGTAAGGTCACTCTAATCTCATTAAATTTACGGGAACAAATGAGTAAACCGAAATGCAAGTGCATACAAGAAGTCACTCAATCTCATTAAATTTCAACAAATGAAGCAAAAGTGCATACAAAGTAAAGGTCACTCTAATCTCATTAAATTTCCGGGAACAAATGAGTAAACCGAAATGCAAGTGCATACAAGAAGTAAGGTCACTCTAATCTCATTAAATTTCCGGGAACAAATGAGTAAACCGAAATGCAAGTGCATACAAGAAGTAAGGTCACTCTAATCTCATTAAATTTCCGGGAACAAATGAGTAAACCGAAATGCAAGTGCATACAAGAAGTAAGGTCACTCTAATCTCATTAAATTTCCGGGAACAAATGAGTAAACCGAAATGCAAGTGCATACAAGAAGTAAGGTCACTCTAATCTCATTAAATTTCCGGGAACAAATGAGTAAACCGAAATGCAAGTGCATACAAGAAGTAAGGTCACTCTAATCTCATTAAATTTCCGGGAACAAATGAGTAAACCGAAATGCAAGTGCATACAAGAAGTAAGGTCACTCTAATCTCATTAAATTTCCGGGAACAAATGAGTAAACCGAAATGCAAGTGCAAACAAGAAGTAAGGTCACTCTAATCTCATTAAATTTCCAGGAACAAATGAGTAAACCCGAAATGCAAGTGCATACAAGAAGTAAGGTCACTCTAATGTCATTAAATTTCCGGGAACAAATGAGTAAACCGAAATGCAAGTGCATACAAGAAGTAAGGTCACTCTAATCTCATTAAATTTCCGGGAACAAATGAGGAAACCGAAATGCAAGTGCATACAAGAAGTAAGGTCACTCTAATCTCATTAAATTTCCGGGAACAAATGAGGAAACCGAAATGCAAGTGCATACAAGAAGTAAGGTCACTCTAATCTCATTAAATTTCCGGGAACAAATGAGGAAACCGAAATGCAAGTGCATACAAGAAGTAAGGTCTCATTAAATTTCTAATCTCATTAAATTTCCGGGAACAAATGAGTAAACCGAAATGCAAGTGCATACAAGAAGTAAGGTCACTCTAATCTCATTAAATTTCCGGAACAAATGAGTAAACCGAAATGCAAGTGCATACAAGAAGTAAGGTCACTCTAATCTCATTAAATTTCCGGGAACAAATGAGGAAACCGAAATGCAAGCGCATACAAGAAGTAAGGTCACTCTAATCTCATTAAATTTCCGGGAACAAATGAGTAAACCGAAATGCAAGTGCATACAAAAGTAAGGTCACTCTAATCTCATTAAATTTCCGGGAACAAATGAGTAAACCGAAATGCAAGTGCATACAAGAAGTAAGGTCACTCTAATCTCATTAAATTTCCGGGAACAAATGAGTAAACCGAAATGCAAGTGCATACAAGAAGTAAGGTCACTCTAATCTCATTAAATTTCCGGAACAAATGAGTAAACCGAAATGCAAGTGCATACAAGAAGTAAATCTCACTCTAATCTCATTAAATTTCTAATCTCATTAAATTTCGAACAAATGAGTAAACCGAAATGCAAGTGCATGCATACAAGTAAGGTCACTCTAATCTCATTAAATTTCCGGGAACAAATATGGAA